TAAGTGCACTGATAAAATGGATTAAACCAAGGTATAAAGACCAGGATACTGTAACCTTTTGTATGGTTGCAGTCTCCCTTCGTTGTATAGAAGTTGTTAGCAACTTGGTTATAGTAGCAGAAAGTTCTAGAGGAACTCACCTTGTCCGGAGTCGATAGTATGCATGATAATTTCGAGAATCTGACCGTGGACTTCGTACATACAAAGAACTTTCGATAACATCATCACTCAGCCTTGCCAGTCTTAGCACCAACGAAAATGTACCAAGTCCACGGTTCGATTATGAAAATTATCATGTATACTATGGACTCCGGATAAGGTGATTTCTTCTAGGGTCTTCCAGCTAATATGAGTAAATTGCGAAATGTATTAATGTTACCAGTCGGTAACTAAAAACCCGAAATGCTCTTAGGATAGTTTGTTAACCTATTTAGCTTTTACTCATACCGAAAATAGAACAGAATGAAAAATAAATAAATAAAAAGTTCGATAAGAAATTGAAAAGGACAAAAACATTGATATATGCCTCTAGGGAAGAAATAAGTAGGAATATTTTTATGGTAAATATGCCATTTTTAAATGCTACATTAATGAATAGGACAATTAGACAAAAACAAATTGTTAATGTGTACAAAAAAAATAAAATGAACCAGCTCACTCTTTTTTATGAGATGAGGCAATGCTTAAAATGGCATTGATGTGTTTGATGCAACATAAATAGGTCGGTCATATCCAACCGTATAAGAACATCTTGAGCCCGTAGGTAATCTCTGGTAGCCAAAAATAATCAGGAAACTAATTTCACGAGGAAGTATTATGATCTCTGCATAAGAGATATTTGTTTATTGCCTCGATTTATTTAGAAATATGTTTTATTTCCATATATTCTTATAATATAATGGCACAAAATAGAATCAAACAATGAGTGATACCCAAGTCATTTTAATTAAGCTCCTTGATAGACTAATCTAATTCTTGGGGATTCTATTACCTCATTGGCAAAATAGATTATAATAGTGAGAAAAATATGCACAACCTGATTAAAGTCTTGCAAATCACTAATAACAAAGATTAATGAAATCCATCCACACTCCAAATAAAAACCGTATTTATTTATTAGCCGTTAAGGTTAAGATGCTTTTGAGTTATGCTCAGGTAAAATGGACATTGTTGCCATAAATACTTTGAGTAAAATGACAAAAACAACTAATAATACAATTGACTCAAATGCATTCATTCGCTGATTAAATTGCTGCATATAAAATGCATAATACAAAGTGGCCCTAAACTTATAAAAATAGATACATAATAATAAAAAGCTGAATACACAATGAAAGAGGGTATCATAGAGGCACATAATGGGATGTGTCTTAGCACCCAGCCAAATCTATTCACCTCAGCCGATACTGCTGCTTCGATCTCTTCAGCGCTCTTTGTGATCACCTCACGAAGATGCATAGTCTCTCTTTCTAGTTTTGCTAAACGTTTAACAGCACTGGAGCGGGCGGATTCGACGGCAAGCAAGCGTTCGTGTAAAACCTCCTTTTGGCTGTTTAGAAGTACAAACAAAAAAGATAATCAATCAAAAATAAGATCACGATCTGTTAAGAGTGAAAGTTTGTGAAATGAGATAAACGAATTGATTGACGAAAATATTGATATTCGTTTAAAGTTCATTTTGAAACCATTGGTAAATTTAAAGTAGGATTTACGGTGGGAAGCAAAGCTAAAAGAAATGCAATGGAAACGTGAGGCATAATCATATCATTGAGGTAAAAACTCAACCTATATCACCAAATTCAATCTAGGGTAAATGTAACTCTAATTTAAAATATTGATAGTCTATCATTAAGCAAGTTAGCTAAAGTACCAGCAGGAAAAGCAATACTTGACGAGACGTCATATTGTAGATCATTAATTTATGATAGATAAATAAAAAACGGGGATTAGTGAACCAGCAGCGATAAAATTAGAGTAAGACAAAGCTTATTCTCAAAACCCCCCTGTAGCGAAGGGCAATATGATTAACTAAATCTACTTGAAGCGACGCACTCTTATGCAACATTAGAGGAAAAGAGAATACAGAATGGTGTGAACAGGTAAATGAGCCATTTGGAGTAGGGTTGATAAAAAGATGCAACACTAGAAGATGGGACAGAAATAGGGGCTAGGAGTGGTGCCACAACGGTTAAAACAGAAAGTTGGTCAATAGGATTGTCTTCACTATATACTTTGATAAGTTGTAACTCTGTGCTAACGATGGCGCCTATAACTGAAGATGCGGACTAAGATGCCGGGGAAACGTATGGGAATGTATCAAATCAATAGCCATATTCTGGAAATCACGAATACTATGACAGAGAACGCAGGACTAGGTACATTCCACAAGGAATTCCTGACACCCCAACAAAGTTGCGAAAGCGATGTCAAGCCAGCACTATGCAGCTAAAGGAGTGTGACCAAACAAAAGGCCACACTCTTAGTCTTGATACCTACGATATTACTTAGAGATATAATACCTAGTTAGCGAGCGAAGAATAAATCTCCAAGTAGTCGCACTAACGCCAAATACACTTTTGTGATACTTTGATACATCATCAGGGTAAAATAACATTATGAACCTTTTGTGGTTTTGTGGTTGTAAAGATAACTAGTGGATAAAAAACTAAATACTGTTCACATTCGAGCAAGCTATGAAAACAACAGCACATCTTGAATAAGAGTGTTTGTTGAGCCTGTAATGACATACCCACACCTTTCCCGTTTAATTTTTACTTTTTGTTACATCGCATAATTATTTTTAGTATATAAGTAGTTTTGAGACTACCAGTAAATCAGTTATATGAGATGTATCCACACCATTTCATTTAAGGTGATGAAGGACTGGTAGTATAATTTTCCCATAATTATATGATTAGAACTGACATTTCCATTGAATTTTACAAAGCCTTGCGTTCCCAAAAGTTGATCTCATCCAGGGTAAACTGCAGTTTCAACCTCGCATAGGTCTTATCAACACCCCCAGTGGAAGTCGAACCGTGACAGTGCAGAATGTGAGCTAGACACGTTAGCCATTCTTCCACATTTCCACGAGTGCCCTTGGGTTGCAGGGCAGATGTGAATTTCAAGGAATGCCTTTTCCCATATCACATTCTTTGGTTGGATTGCCTATGAAGCAAACGTATTTTTGCTATAAAAATCTATTACAATACTCACTCTTCATATATATAAGTAGTTTCGAGACTAACAGTAAATCAGTTATATGATATGTACACCGAAATAGAAATTATTTGACGTTTTTTTGCAGGAGTAGTTAACATGTCAAGCTCACATGCTGCGTTTTACATCAGCATGGAGTGTGGAGGGTTCTCATGAAAGCCGCTCAAAAGGGCACACCATACTAGATTTAAATAAGCAAGGAAAGAAATTGTGATAGTGAATAGCCCAAGACAGGAGGGATATCACAATTCTTTAGCACACATTTGGTCAAAGGATCGGCTTTACTTGTCTCTTTGACGAGTTGTTGTATGGTGTTTAAAATGGCAAAACTCACTGACGATGCCGACTACGATTCTGGCGAAACGTCTGGTAATGTACCACGAATACGGTCCGACTTTGGAAAGTATCACGCATACAATGGACTCCGGACTATGTCTGTTCCTCAAAGTGTTACTACCAATATGACCAAGTTGAGAAAACAAGGTCTAACAATTTCTATCCAACATCCTGTTGAAATCGGTCACGTTCGGTTCCTTCTCTTCCTCTCCTCTTCATACCCCACAGGGTTTAACATGTTATAGTTGACACTATCTTTCATTAATTGTCTATATTGTCAGCTCTCTCATACTGTATTCGGCCATTTCAAAATAGGACAATTGCAAATACTATTTGTGCCCTTTCTCTCTTGGTTTAAGATCCTCCATCTTTTGAGTTGTAGAGAGCAAGCATTTTATATTTTAGAGATAGACTATGTCCTTCTTAAGAACACAACACTGGTGATCCCGACAGCAGAACTTTTAATAGCAGCGTGAATATTACATAATGTCGTTCCAGTCGACGAAGAGGACAGCCAGACTTTTGTAATAGGTGCAGCAAAAGTCAATGTACCTACTTTTAACGAAGCTAATCCACATCTTTGGTTCAAGCTTCATCGGATCAAATAACTTAAAACCACTGGGAATGTACCACGTCCAAGGTCCGACTATGGAAATAATTATGCATACAATGGACTCAGGATAAGGTGCGTTCCTCTAAGTCTTCTTACCAATATGACTAAGTTGCGAAAACAAGGTCAAACAACTACTATAGCACCTTTTGAGATTTTTAGGACAAACAATTCAACCTGGAATAAGCTGCTGAGCAAGTATTCCCCCATTAACAAATCAGTCATATTGTTAGGAAGACTAAGAGGAATGCACCTAGTCCGGAGTCCATTGTATGCATAATCATTTTTAAATTCGGACCGTGGACGTGGTACATTCCCAGACGTTTCGCCGGCATCGTAGTCGACATCGTCAGTAAGTTTTGCCATTCGTAGCACCATATTACAAATAGTTAAAGAGACAAGTAAGGCCGATCCTTTAAACAAACGTGAGCTAAACAGTTATGGTATCTCCCCTTCTGCCCTGGACTATTCACATTTCCTATATCCTCCTATAAAGCCTTCACTCACAATTTTTTACTTGCTTAATTAGGTGTGGTACTATGTGCCCTTTTGAGCGGCTTTTATGAGAACCCTCCGCAGTCCATGCTGGCCTTCTCACCCCCCTTCCTACTTGCGCTGGGAATAAGGAGCAGAGTTTGCCATATTGTTAAGCAGGCCTCCTTCCCAAGGTCTTACTACAGTCTCTCCCTTGCCCCGTAAGATCCGTCTGCCCTGGTTCAAATATGTAACTCGAGCCCTGCCAACCCATCTGTGCTACTCGAGACGTTATTACCCCTCCAATGCGTCTGGGTGACTAATTCGAATCTAAAGCCTCTGAGTAAGTCTCATGGTCACGCCTTTGCCACATGGACTACCTCTCTTATAAAACCTACTGTCAGCCCACTAGCTCTCATATCCTCCGCGTCTATACTGTTTATATCTCCAATACCAAGTCTATGACTTCCCATACCCTAGTCTCTAGTATGGCAACCCACAAACGTTGTGGTTCAACATTGAACATAACCAAAGCAAGCAGTACCACAATATTTGTGAGTTAGCACACAAGAGACTAGGGATGGAAGTCATAGACAAGCTATAAGAGATAGAAACAGGATAGACGCGGCGGCGAGGGAAGCTAGTAAGCTGGAAATAGGTTTTATAAGAGCCGTGGTCCATGTGCTACAGACGACGATAGGACAAAGGTAGTAAACCTATCCCTCTTAATTATGAAATTATGGATCTCTTAGAGAAGGAGTTACATTTTTGGCTAGGTAATGAAGGAAATATTTTTAGTGATATTCTGGTGGAAGTTTTTAACATAGA